GTTTGTATTGGCTGTATAAAGACATTCCATGCCACACCCAACAAATGCCGTTAATCACATTTTCCAAGATCATGACAGCATTTTACTATTGTTAGACTTGGCGACTATATATACCCAGTGAAGGCAAGGTTGCATGACGAAAGTTCAAAAACATCACCAAACCAAACCTGATTAAGCAAAATATAACAACAAACCCATTTTATAGCTGCTGCACAAAGAAGTAATCTTTACTGGAACGTTTTCATTGACGGTTAGTATATAATGCCAGGAAAAAGCACTGGACTAGAATAAATTTTTACACACAAAAAAAATAATAAAAAATTATATATATATATATATATATATATATATATATATATATATATATATATATATATATATATATATATGGTAGCTAGGCCAACGTTTAATGAATTAAAATTATTGTTATTGATTTAGTTATTGATATTTTATATATATTCGGTTTCTTACGCCACTGCACCATGGTATTGAAAAACAAATGCACATTTAAAGAAAAGGTTTGTCTATTAATTTGGCTTAGTAATAGTGTGTCCAAACTTATCACAAACTATCACACTACCATCCATACCAAGTAAGCAAACACCAGAAGATATCTGTAGTTTAAAATACAAGACAAGGCCTATACGTCACCTTCACCTCGACTTTTACCTCACCTTACATATCGAGTATAGTGTTTAATATGACAGGTGGTGGGACGTAAGGGAGACCGGGGCTAGTTGCGCCAGTTAGACACTTTTGGCCTTGTAGAGCCAACTAGGAATGAGTTAGAGTAACAAAACCGGTTTCAAAGTAAGCCCCATGAACTAAGCAACGTATGCAACGTCATTATTTTTAAAATATAATACCAGATGACTTACAATTTAACAAAGAAACGTAGTTGACGTCAAGGGGGCCAATTTGACCCGCCACGGGTGAAGTTGGCCCCAGGGTCGCGGCAAGTTGGCACCCTATACGAAAATGAAGTAAGTATCCTATGTAAACGCCTTAGAATCAGTTTTTATACATTTTTAATTTATTAAATAGATTTTTGAGAGTCTTTGATAAATAAATAGTTCATATGAGTCAGATTTATTGAGGTTTCCGTACGTCACATTCTATGTGTTGCAAGAACCAAAATATCTATCAATAAAATGTATTTAGTTTTTATTGAGAATAAATTAATAAAAGTATTAAGCAGGTTTTTAATGAATGAAAACGAATAATAAATTTTCGGTCTTACATTAATCGAATATGAAGTGTTAATTTTTTTTATCACGAATCAGTTAGTTAAGGATAATGGTAAATCAAAAAGTATTAATTGGCCTTCAAAGGAATACAATGAAAATATATTACTGCTAGAGAAGTAAGATATGAACTTGTTTTGACCAAATTAAGAGGTAATGTATTCCTAAATGAAAGGGTGCCATACTATGTTATATGAAATGGAATATTTTTGACATGTAATCAGTCTGTTATAAAAGCAGTTCTTTGGGGAATTCTGCATGAAATTTATCACACAGGAAAATATTAAAAGAAATGTAAGATTTTAGAACAGGATGTTTGTAATTATTGCCCTTTTGAGATATATTTCATTGCTTTGTAGAATGCTAGAAAAATTTCAAAAATATGGAAATTAAAAATTGGGATAAATTTAGCCAAGATGAAAATTTGGAAACATATACTCAACAACAGATTTGTATAAAAAGGTAATGATTCTAAGGTATATAATGTTTCTGTATAAATGTATAGAGAATATAAAACTGAAACTGATTCATTCTTTGGTCAAAATTATGCTTTATTTCAAATTGTTCATGCTTGAAATTTATGAATAAATTTTAATAAAAAATACCAGCACTGCTTTGTACTAGAACTTTCCAAGGAATAAAACTTCACAATTCAAAATATATACCAGCAGTTGTTGTATGCTCCATACAGTACATGAACTGTGATGCTGCAATAAGCCAGGATAAACGTTATAATAATATTTGAAGTGAAATAACCATCTTATCTGATTAATTGTGCTATGTGAACAAAACAGTACCATCTAACACATTGTACCAGAAGCTGGCACACATACCACATTGTTTCCGTGGATCACATCTACTGCAATCAGTCAGCAGACATGTACAATTAATACTCCACAAGCTATATACACCTACCACATTGTGTCTGTGGATCACATCTAATGCAATCTGTCAGCAGACATGTACAATTAATACTCCACAAGCTATATACACCTACCACATTGTGTCTGTGGATCACATCTACTGCAATCAGTCAGCAGACATGTTGCAATTAATACTACACAAGCTATATACACTACCACATTGTGTCTGTGGATCTCATCTACTGCAATCAGTCAGCAGACACGTAGCAGTCCAGTTGCTGCTCCCTCACTCAATGTCGGCTCTGCACTTACGTACGGGTCCAATGACGAACTTAGGTTGAAATTTAATACTACTACTATGTAGACAGATTCACATATTTTGGTGTAGCTTTTTACTAATTACTTATACCAGCCCAATAAAATTATTATTATGATAACAATTAAAAGATAAATTTTAAATAACGGAAGTAATGAGGAATGTTTATTGTGCCTCTTTTATATATATATATATATATATATATATATATATATATATATATATAAAGACGGCCGCCGATCTAGATCAATCGGTACTTTACTTCATTGAAGGCACAAGACATAAATTCTATATTGAAGTACACCGATAATGCCCGTCTGGGCGTTAGGTGCAGCTTGTGTTCTGAAATTCAATTATAAAACTGGATCCTGAGTCATATACAGAAGGCATATAGGCCAATTTTTACTGGTTTTACGTCACATGAGAGAATGTTGCACGATGTAACCTTCATTGGATGACGTCAGCCTTGTCCGTGGCGCGCATGAACATTACTGGGAGTTATTGTCGATATGCGTTGATATCAAGAAGAAGTCAGTGAGAGAACGTGTCACCCTGCAATCTTCACCAAATATGTTACAGTAACGCATTGTGCCATAAATTAACTTTTTAGCTTACTGGCCAATTAAACAATTAATATACCTTGTCGAGCGTTTATCTATTTATTTAGTTATTAATTTATTATTTAGAAACACCATGAAGCAGTTACATTTGAAAAAAAAAATCAAATCTAAATATCTGATGAATACATAAAAAAAAATCTTAACCACTAAATTCACACATTCCTGCCGCAGGCGTAATAGTCCAAAATAAGCATAATGAATTTAGATAATCACTCAGGGAGCGCAGACCTCGGCCAAGGCAGGTCAATTCTCATCATTATCTACTGATTATAGAACTAATTAATAAATAATCACCAAAATCTATCCCATTCATCAATATATTAATAATTTAATCAATTAATTAATTAATTAATTAATTAATAACCACGTGCCTAAATTTAGCCCATTTCTGACCTATCTTGAAAATTCCATCAAAAGACTTGGGTAGCTCTTCACATATGTTGGTGACAAACAAACAGACAAACGGAAGTAAAGGCATGGCGTTCTTGGCGCAGGTACATGTAATTATAAAGTTAGATTATAAAATTATAGGTACGTATAGCGAAGTTTCATGCACTCAGCTGGTTCGTTTGAGTGTTATATATTCACGACAGGGTTCCTATAGAGAGTGCCATGTAATGCCCCTCCCCCACCCCCCATTTCACAGGGGTCTCTATGGTATAAATTACAAAATGGAATATTCGACAGGTTTGTAAGAGACCACTGGCGACCCCTGTGGTCAGAGAGTAGCATATCTGTCAATGAGTGCGGGGGCGGCAATTTAAAGCATATAATAATATCATTCTATATATTGTCCACTGGTCAATATAATTTAGGCCTCCCCTTCAAACAATCCAAGCTGGATCCGCCCCTGTTACTCTTATCAGTTACTTAAATATACATGTACATGTAGGCCTGATATTTTAAAATGGGTGCATATCATCATTTACTAATACGGGAGAGTTAAAGTGAAAACAAATAGGCCTTTTATTGCACGTGACTGGCTGTAGTTTACTAAGTACTGAGCTTCGAATGACCAATTTGTGAAAAAACAGCAAAAACGTCGCCAAACAAATATGTCAGCGTACGTAGTGCAGAGACCACGACCGCCACTCTGTGACCACAGAGACGCTAGCAGTCTCTTATAAAATTATTGCCTCTTCTTCGACTTTGTAAACTTTTGTGAGGATTCTTTAGCTACCAGGGGAGTCTCAACGCGCGGTAAAAGGAATGGAAGTACGCTAGGAACCGTAGTCCGCTACCCATTACTTTGTACAGGTGACATTCGTCCTATACATTGTACACCAACCCCAATACTGCAACTAACCCTAACAGGAAAAGAAGTACCTCTGTGCAGCTACATGTAGGATGAGGAGAANTCTTACAGTGTGAATATTTTTAATATTAATTTGAAAGAATTATGCTGCTTTAATAATGGTTTTTGTTTGTACTCCTTTTTGTGAACTTGTTGTGTTATTTTCTGTCAATGTTTTAATAATTTCAATATGGGCTCATTTTAAATAGTGAAATGAGCTAAAATAATTAATTATCATTTTTATTATTATTATTATTATTATTGGCTTCTTTGTACTAACAATAACTGGCGGTAAACTTCACCTACGTGGTTTGTAATATTAAGAAACTGAAACGCATTACAACTGGCGCTGGGGGGGGGGGAGAAATGGGAAAGAGGGGGGTGTCAAGCCTAGCTCCTAACTGAGACTAAAGGAAACAGGAAATGATTTGACAAACACGACGTTGGCTTCAGCATGAAAGTGAAACCCCACTTCAGCTGCAATGGCTTCTTGATCTGTCAAGGAACTGTGAACGGTTATCCGATTATCAATCAACACAAAAGCCTTTGTCCGCTGGGCCTGATTCAGATGCTTGGACACAATAGAACACATTTGTTTATATTTTCCGCACTGACGTTAATCCTGCGCTCTGATTGGTCCTCACCGCGCACGTGTCACTCAGCTGCCGCCATTGTGTGCTGATTGCAAATGCTCGATGATCGATGAATACGAAGATCAGACGCGGCTAGAACTGTGAACAGGGTGTGTTTGCCTGAACTGAGAGTACGAGAGGAGAGGGACAAATGTCAGGCTTTAAATTAGGCATCGTACGGCTGGGCAGAGCCGCCGGAAAGGTAAGGAATTTACTGATATTTTTCATAAGACTGTGTAGTGCGAGCCACCTTGTTGTGTCGGCAGCTGTTGTACAATGTACCATGATATGGAATCAATGGGAAAGTCTGATAGCAAGGAACAAAGAGCAACGATAACTGTGGGTACATTATAGCTATATACTCATCGCAGGTTGCAGGCCGGTGATAGCTTTCTTAATGTCAGTGAGACTAAATAAAAGGACCAGTTTTGTAACAATATCAGGTGTTTTAATCGCAAGTAGTAAATTTTTGTCTAATTTTCTGGGGTATTCCTCACTAGTTAATGTGTTAACCAGCACAGTCTGCTATGACAGACGGTTTGTATGGAATAATTTAACTTCATCTAATTTTTGTTACGTTTTAATATGGAATATTTGAATTAAATATTGACTTAATGTGGCATTTCATATTAAAAGTTAAAGATGCACTGAGCAAAGCAATTGCAATCCTTCACATTCTCATATACACAGACCCCAGGGTGGATGTTGAAGTTATCCCCAGCAAGTGCCCCCTGTCAGGATGTACACAGACTGCTGTAGACAGGAACTGGAGTATTAAACATGCCATGCAGAAAGTGTGACCTAATTCTTGAAAGGGATAAATTGTCCATTTCCTGTTTCTTTTCAGCACAAAAGGATATATTATAACAGCACAGTGTGACTCACACAACAGTAGAAATGAGAACTTTGACCTGCTAACAGTTGAGAATATTGTTGTAGATCTGAAGCCCACTTTCTATGCATCCTTTCACAGGTTACATATTTCACTGTGTCTCACCTTGGGTGGCAGTGTGTGTAAATTTCCCCCTCTAGACTATAACACAAGGATGTTCAATAAGGGTGGCCAATAAATCTGGGCATGAATTCCTCAGTATTTTATATGTTTTTAAGGGCAAAGCACTAGAACACAGCACAACCCAAATCATCGGTCTTCACTTTTGGAACCATTGTATATTGATAATAAACCTACCTGCTGTGGCATCATTGGATTTTGATCAGTTTTTTTCACTTAATTGTGGACATAAACAAACAGTTGCTTTTCACCTCTCAAATATTCCTCATATATATATTCTGATGACACTGGGGTAGTTATAGATATATGCCTATCACGTCACTGACAACCTTGTAATGTAGCATTGACATGTCCATCACATCACTGACAACCTTGTAATGTAGCATTGACATGTCCATCACGTCATTGACATCCTTGTAATGTAGCATTGACATGTCCATCACATCATTGACATTACTGACATCTCTTTATATGACATGATACAAACATCACTGTTATCTTTTGTAGTATCACTGACAACCCAACCAAGTCACTTGAATCCTTGTCTTGTCTGTCACTGACATCCCTGTCATGTCTGTCACTGACATCCCTGTCATGTCAACAGTCATCAACATCACTGACATCCCTGTTATGTCACTGACATCCCCAACATGTGATGGTAACATATTACATTGAATACAAGTTTTGTGATATACTGCAAAAGTTAAAAAAATTGTAAGTGAATCGCAATTTTTAATATCTTGGATAGCACCTACCTCTCTTTAAGTTTGTGCTGTTTTACAGACAGCAAGGGGTGAACACAAAATGATTGCAATCAAATTGACAGAATTATAAGGCTCATGTTACATGTATGCATGCTTGTACACTAGCTCTGATACTTCCATGAAATAGTGAGATCTTCTTGGAAGTGATTTCAAGCCTCATTACAGTGTCCTCAGGTAGATAATGTCTCTCACCTTACAGGTAGGTCATGAACACCTGGAGAACAAAATACCTCACAGCAACACAGGAATCCTGCATCAGGACATGAGTGACATGTGTCAGTCATATGTTGCCTAGGTGATAGCTATGCCATCTGGGGACAGTGTGATTATTGCAGAATACTAGAAAATAGAGGTCTATGCACTGGAAATATTACAGGGTTTAGCACATTGAAAAAGAAAGTATATATAAAAGAGGAATTTGATCAAAAAGATCAGATAACTAGGAAATCAGTATTACTTAGTACTGTATAAATTTGTTTTATTATAGATATTCGCTCTGGCAGTGAGAACAAATAAGGTTGGATACAGGTTTTGTGATATAGCATAAAAGTAAAAAAAAAAATTGGTAACTGAGTGGGAATCTTTTTATATCTTGAATGTAGCCTATCTCTCTTAACATTTGTGTTGTTTTACCGAGGTTGCAGAGAAATGGTAAAATGTAGCCTCTACAGTGACCATTAGCTAACAGTACTGTATGTATACACTAGTCAGGTACAGTAGTGGGGGGAGAGACAGATTAACAGATGGACTCTGCACTTATTATTGATTGCTCTTCATACATATTGGAACATGACAGAGAACATATTGGCCATAATGATGTTGATCATATAGTAAAAACATTGGACTATTGTTCTATTTCCTTTGCTTGTTATTGAGTCTTTTATCATTGCAGTGGACATAAGTCACAGTAAATCTCTCTGTTAACATCCTCCCCTTTTGTAGCACCACAACATGAGCATTTATTACCTAGGACCAGTAACTTTCTTTGTGCTGTTTGACATTTGGATATAATAGCATGTCATAGAAATACATGGTTTATTGTACAGAGTTGAATTTTATTTCATTGATGAAATCTAACTTTGCTATTCCTGTGTATATGCAGTTCACGTACAGGACATACGCACATGCAAGCATACTCACTCAGGAACACATGCACACAGACAGTTGTAAAGACATTGTTTAAGGCCATTTCAGGCTCACACCGGATGGTCACATGTGACTTGATATAAGGGCCATTCCGTGGTATTTGGTCCGCAGACCTCAAAATTTAAAAAAGGAATCCTACTTATAAAACTTATAATTTCTGAAACCAGACACCATAAGACACCAGAATCCAAAAGAAATTTTAGGTTTTGATGATTAATTATGATTTTATTGACACTTTTATCTGGAAAACTTATAAAATAGTGTTACGGAAGGACATTTTTATTTTTGATATATTTAATACCCTGAACAAATTTTGAGTGGTGATGCAATGCTTTTCATCCCTGCTGAGAAGCGTCACTATCACATCGCGTACTAGGCAAGAGTATGTCTGATACTGTGTAATGCGATCTGACACACACCTTGAAAACGGGTAGTGTGGTCTGATCTACCGGTGAATTCTGGATCATTTGGGTGCCGAGTCTGGTAGTTGGGTAGGCCTGTATAACATGTACATCAAGGTAAAGAGCTGGGTAAGATGAATTAACCAAGTCATCACTTGGGTTTAAAGATGTATTTAAAAACCACGGGCTTTATCTTCATCAACATGAGAGACACATGGCATGTACAGTATAATGTATTGGTTCTGGTAGTAGCAGTTGTGTCACCATCTGGTGTACTGAGGTGACAGGTGTGTAATCAGGTATATCTACCTGTATAGTACGTAAATCTATCTGGACAGCAGTGCTGGCTGCTAGTGTAGTAGTAGTAGTAGTAGTAGTAGTAAAGGCAAACATCTGGTACAGTGCCTCCAGTATTGTCTCTCTAGATTGAACAGCTACTGTGAATGTTTCAAGCGTACTGTCCTACTTCTGTCACATCTTGATGACTTGGTGAACATGGACTGTGGGCCAAGTCTGGATGAATATTTTCGGCCTAGCTACGGCAAACTGTCTACATGAGGACTGTTGTTAATGTAGACAGATTCATGAATGGATTAAGAGGCCTCCTAATGGCATCAAATAGAAATATATAGAAATATGGTGATTTTATGAGAATGTTGGTAACAAGTCAGAATTTTCTACATCTTCTTGTATATATATAAACCATATATACCAGGTGCATAAGGTTTGAAGACATTTCTCATATTTTATAAGAATCTCATAAAAGTAAGTAACATGAGAATGAGTTAAAAAAAGAAACTACCCATTCAGTCAAAGCACCTCAATATCTGAGTACTTCAGTCATACGTGACTTAGTAATATGGAGAAATATGCCAATATGTGTCAGTAGCATGTCAATATGGTTTCCACTTCATATGCTACTGGATGCAGATTGCCTTTGTTACACACTGAGATGCAGACAGTAATTACTTATTCCCAATGCTGTCCAGATTATACACTAGAGTCAGTAGCATAATATTCTCACCAAATGCTGTAGGTAGTTACATATGGTCAAAATGGAAGCAAGGAGGCTAGTATATGTATATATTTTATATCATTTTGGTGAAATATTGATTAACTGTCTTAAATAAATTACATTTGGACAAAATGGAAGCAAGAAGGCTAGTATATGTATATATTTTTTATCATTTTGGTGAAATATTGATAAATTATCTTAAATTATAGGGAAGTTCTACCATCTGAGTGAATATTAGAAAACACATCTAGTTTATATAGTCACTGCAGTAGAAATGTCACTTTTATTTATTTTTAAATTTTGTGTGAGAGAAAATGAAAAAAGCTAATTTAAAATGAGGGTTGCAAAATTAAGATACCAGCATATTTTGAATTATGCATTAAATAGTGTTTTCTACCTGGGAAGATATATGATAATATACACAAACTGATACCAGGCTCCAGGTTAGGGCCGGGAGGGGGGGGTGAAGGGGTGCAATATATTGATTTCATAAGCATGGCAAGGCAAAAGTACTCAGAAATTATAAGAACTGCAGCTGTATATTTTGTATAAACTATTGCTCAGTATGTAACAGCATATTTCCAATAATGTTGGAGTAGTGTGATTTAATTGAAGACTGATATTAATAGCATAAATGCAAGTACTGGAAGAGAAAAAATCAATGGGGTGTACTCATCTTTGTGTTTTATATTACCATTATTCTGGGGTGTTTGGGGATGACCAGAGATATTGATGAACTCTAGAGAAGTACAGTTTATATCTTAAACTACACTAGTATATCTGGTCAGAGTGCAGAACAGCATGGTGATACTAGGGTACAGTGATTGGTACTGGGCAGATTTAAGTTAGTTCTGATGTGAAGGGAGCTAGGTGTGTTGTACATTCCTTGTGAAGTGTACCTACTGTATATCACTTAAATCAGCTCTAAGTAAATTATTTTTTGCTCGTTACTCTGAATGTACAGTGTGCAATTAAAGAATTCCAGGAATAGATGTGACAGTAGAGATCCAAACATTTTTCATGTATCATAAACAGCTTAAAGGTTAAAAAGATAGCAATACTGAAACAGATTCATAATGGGCTTCTTAGTGCTAAATGGCATATAATGCTAAAATGTTACAGGTAGGTATAGGAGACATATTACCATGAAATACAACTATACAAAGGACACAAGACAAAAACTAGGGAAAAAAAGCAAATCGCTGAAAAAAATGTGAACTGATGAATAGAATTGAACATTTTGAGCCAGATACCGCAAGCTAAAGGTCTACTCCCTAAATCCTTCATAGTGTTTACAAGGGTAAAAGATCAGGGGAAATATTGGGCTATTTTGTGCCATATTATCAGTATTTTAGGGATAATTATCCCCTCTTGTTAGATTTCTCACCAAAATATAAAAAAGCAGTTTACAATTGGTTCTGTAAATGATGTACTGCTTGCAGTGATGTATTTCATTGTGTATAAATGTACAGTATATATGTGGCAAGGCAAGGGATACAGCAGGGTAATATATTAAGTAAAAGTTGGGCAAGGGATACAACAGGATAATAGAAGAAAAAACCAGGCAAGGGATACGGCAAGGTAATAGAAGTGAAAGTCAGGGAAGGGATACGGCAAGGTAATAGAAGTGAAAGTCAGGCAAGGGATACAGCAGGGTAATAGAAGAAAAAACCAGGCAAGGGATACGACAAGGTAATAGAAGTGAAAGTCAGGGAAGGGATATGGCAGGGTAATAGAAGTAAAAGCCAGGCAAGGGACATAGCAGGATAGTAGAAGTAAAAGTCAGGCAAGGGATACGGCAAGGTAATAGAAGTAAAAATTGGGCAAGGGACACAGCAGGGTAATAGAAGTAAAAGCCAGGCAAGGGATACGGCAAGGTAATAGAAGTGAAAGTCAGGCAAGGGGTACAGCAGGATAATAGAAGTAAAAGGGAGAGAAGTGTACTGAACTGGTCTCTTCACTATGGCATATGGTTGTGGTCATCAAACCATGGGCAGATGTCTGGGTTACTGAGGGCACAGATGTCCAGTATATGCCCAGTGAAGTGAGGTCAGGCTAATTATGTGCTGTCCCCAGGCAGGTGCTCCCACAGTGGTATTATAGGGGCTATGTCACTTGTCACACTACACCTGTCTGTGACACTCTCTCTGGCTGTATTCACACACAGAACTAGCTTGGACTAACACTCTCTCTGGCTGTATTCACACACAGAACTAGCTTGGACTAACACTCTCTCTTGCTATATTCACACACAGAACTAGCTTGGACTAACACTCTCTCTTGCTATATTCACACACAGAACTAGCTTGGACTAACACTCTCTGGCTATATTCACACACAGAACTAGCTTGGACTAACACTCTCTCTTGCTATATTCACACACAGAACTAGCTTGGACTAACACTCTCTGGCTATATTCACACACAGAACTAGCTTGGACTAACACTCTCTCTTGCTATATTCACACACAGAACTAGCTTGGACTAACACTCTCTGGCTATATTCACACACAGAACTAGCTTGGACTGACTATTTGGTTGTATTCACACACAGACTAGCTTGGACTATTTGGTTGTATTCACACACAGACTAGCTTGGAATGAATATTTGGTTGTATTCGCATACTGGCCTAATAATATATCTACTATTAATATGTACTGGTCATTGTCACTGGATAGAAGACGTAGGTACAGCACATACTGTCACCTATACACGTCAAACACACTTAAATATATACACACAGGCATACACATATTCACATAGTTCAGTACGTACATGTATACATGCATGCAGATGCACATACATACGGTACACACACATATGCACATACATATATACACACATGCATCCCCATATACACATACTAAGTACACTTATTGAATGGCATTCATTTTCTCCAGAACACTTAGTAATTGCAGGAACACTTGGTGCTCTAAACCATTTCCATCATGGAATATTTATTGAACATTAGCGATATAGAACCTTCATTGCAGTAATAGGCTGTGTATGTACAGTGTTATAACAATGAAGGCTGCCTGGTATATAGACATATGTTGTTACTTGGAGATCACAGCTAATGTCTTCACATAGTGTATATACACACATATATAGCAACTGAAATTTTTTGAGAAAAAAGATGGGACTGGGAATATTTTGGAATGTTTTTTTTTTTTTTTTTCGAGAACTGAAGTTTTCTAATGGTCAACACTGTGAAAGTAGAACAACATTTTGTATCAGAACACTTGTCGAGTACTGTGCCAGCACAGCAACCCCTATGCCTGTAAATATTCTCCAAATAACACAATCAACACAATTCATTAATAGCTGTCTACAGTTGAAATATAAAGTGGCACTTTTATCTGCTGGTGCTTCCTTTGTTCCATATATATAGCAGTACTAGTACACCAATACCTCAAATGGAAATCCCTCTTTATGGATGGCATTTTGTTCCATATATGTGCAGTATAGCACTGCCTCATGTGGAAATCCCTCGTCATAGATGGTATTTTCTCCTCTGTTTTGACCAGTGCATGTTGCAAGCTAGATCAACCAGCAAGGAGTCAGTGTGAGGGTTTGGTTGGAGTCTTAGGATGGCTTTCATCAGAAATAGCTTTGTTTTTTCTCTCTGACATACACAAATGTCTGCGGTGGACTTGACAGCTTCCTCTGTTTTTATTTCCTTGTTGTGAAGAATGTTTAGAGAGAAAACTTCATTTCAAGGATGATTGATGCTGTGTTCTTGGTGGGGTAGTGCTGGTCTTTGTGAGGGGGTTCAGTGGAACAAAGACACAGAGGGACTAATACTGGGGGGTAGTTTACTTTGTAACAAGTTTAATTTGCTTATAGGAACTTATGTTAATGCTAAATAAACAATTTATTTGTATTTGTGATCATTTATAACATATTTAGCTTATAGATATTATCTGCCTGTAAATATTAACCTTTATAGAATAAACAGTTAGATAACATCGACATATTGGGAAGTGTATGGACTATTTTCCCAACTGTGTTATAATTTGCCTAATGAGATTGAGTAATTTGTTGACATTTACCTTTCAGATTAAATATGCTCTTCTAGATGAGAGAGACATTGGGCTGGTGGAAAGATATGCATTTGAAGTAAGTACAGTTACTTTATTGTGTTGAAAGTGGAAAAAATGAAATGAAGCAATGTACTGTTTTCAAGTAGAACACAATTGACTGAAAGATATCACAGTTAACAGTGGAGATTTGAATCAGTAAGAAGGAGTTTAAATGAAGTGTAAGAATTGCACTTGGTAGTCTGTGCTAATTGTGTGTTTCTAGATTTGGAGATGGTGTCTTCAATATTTGATATTGAAAACCATTTTTAAATCTAGTATGATATGATGCATATAGTTTTAAGCCTGATTTCAATGTATCTTTTCGGCTGTTTATGATTTGAACTGTTTATAATTTGGGCCATGTTTCAAGCACTTGTGTATCAGGCATGTGATGATGCAGTATCTCAGAGTTCTGGCTGTTGTGTTGCAGGCTCAAGTTGTAGTCGACAAAGATGGGAATGGTGCTAAGATTTACGCCTATGCCTACGACATAAATAGAGGGCGCTGTGCTGGGATGTTTGTCCAGGATTTACTGTGGTAAGTACCGACACACGGGAGGATGTCGCAGACATTGCGGAAGACACCCTTGTTCTGTCTTTGAATTATGAAGTTCTGTATCAAACTTGCAAAATGTCAAATTAAAATATAAGTGGCTTACAAGGACATGCTTTAGAAAACAAGATTTTTGTTTGGATTTTACTTAATTATGACTCGTAGGTAAATGAACATCCCTTGTATTGTTGTTATATGCTGCACAGTTTTCTTAATGAGACAGAGAAAAAATAAATGAATGAATGGTCTCAGTAGTATAGTTAAGTATGCCATCTTCTCTCTAGGGAGTTACACTGTGGAGGTATAACACCAGGATATAAAGTATTAGTATGGGATGTGTTATCTTCTCTCTAGGGAGTTACACTGTGGAGGTATAACACCAGGATATAAAGTATTAGTATAGGGTGTGTTATCTTCTCTCTAGGGAGTTACACTGTGGAGGTATAGCACCAGGATATAAAGTCATCCACAGGAATGGTGTCACGGTGGACAATAGGATGGAGAACCTGACGCTAGTCCCAATCAACTGCAAGTCTCCGGCCATTGAGGAACCTTCCACCAAGACCAACAGAGAGCAGAGTTTGTACTGGGTAGCCATACAGCAGCTGCCAGCTGACCCTATAGATGAGGTAACAGAATGACTCAGATAGAGCCAACCCTTTAAAGTGGGTCAAGTGTCCATTAGAGTATTTTGGTTAAAAAAAAAGTTTGCTGAAGCTACCTTGGAGATTTGTTTTAATGGTATTTGCATGGTATATGACTGGGATTATAAATGGTGAAAAAAACATACATGCATTTTCTTTTCAGCTCAGTGAACAGTAGATGAGTTGTAATATGAACACAGTCATTTATTCACACATTTATTGTTTTCCAGAATTACCCAGAATCCTTGTATCACAGGTTTTATAATGCCAATGGAGACCAGATTGAGGAGGAAGGTAAGTCCTGGCTAAACCATCGTCTGCTTAATCTGAAACGACCCTTTGATCTCAAGATTTCTTTAGGTGGTATAAGACAGAATTGAAGACACATTTTCCAAACTTTCTCTTCATAATCTTGAATTGTATTTTATTTGATAGAAGCATACTTAAGAGCTTGTCAGATGCATTTTAACACAAACAAGTTGTCTTCCAGATGACAGCAGCATGTATTACGAGTGCCATTACCCCCCCTGTACAAATATAGAGAAAGAACTGAGAGAGTTCAGTATATGTGGCAGGTGCCAGGAAGTCAGGTGGGTGATTTATCTCTCTCTCTCTCTCTCTCTCTTATTTATTTATTTATCTGCTAATCAGTCTCATGCACTGAACAGATGTAATTTTGTTCCACATTTCCTCATGATGTAGGCCTACATAATTACTGGGTTGTCATGTATTATTACCTGCATATTAGTCTCGCCATATTCCCTTATGAAACTAGAGCAATATTGTTCATTAATTGCTTGTTAACACCAGCACTCAGATTACAAAGCTATGGTGTACATGCTATTGGATTATGAAAGAAAGATCAAAATTAAAGTTTTCATTATAAAATTTAAAATGTTTTGCTGTTATGTCTGTCAAGCTGTTACATTTTCAGTTTTGTTATTTCTAGATACTGTGGGACATACTGTCAACAAAAAGACTGGCCTAGTCATAAAAGACACTGCAGAGAGAGGCGAAGGTTTACTATCATACGCTCTATGTCTCCAGAAAGATGAAATAACATCAGACTCTCATATAAGCCAATCAAACAGCATTACCTAGTCACGTGTTACAGTACTATAGGTGGCAGTAGATGAAAAAAAGAAATGCAAGAGGCGCTTTATTCAAAGCTGAAGATTAAAAAAAATTGATACCAAAGTTACAAAAGGCAGCTGCCTCTAGGATGTCATCCAGTTAACAATGGTGCTGAAGACTTCAGTGAAACAGCTGTCCCCTGTGTGAATACAGACACACACAGAGACTGAGTTCATAGACGGACATGAGTTCATAGATTTACATGCAATTATATTGTCATTTGCCAGCAGATATTTCTCTGTGTCTCTGGACAGAAGATCTCAAGCTGCCAAAGACTTGTGTATTCAATGGATTTTGTCTTTGGGGCAGTAAGATTAGATGAGACATTTTGTTTACTTTTCCTGTCATAGCATCTTTGTATTGTTGATTTGTGCCTCCTGTTGTCCCAGTGTGATGCTTATCATCACTGCGGTTGCAGATGGTCTCCCACCTCATCATGTCACTATGGAGGATATTACTCTGACACTAAATACTGAACAGTTGTAATGGCAACTCTGTGGAATATACCACTTCACACTTTTTACTTGATATTTATAAAGGTAACTCAGCTATATTTGCCATCTCCTATAGACTATATCTGTGGTTTAGATTAAATGCTTGAAATTATTATGTTGACATGGATGTCCAGGCACCAAGCTGTGTGGTTATTGCTCCCCTACTCCTCCTCTCCCCCCCCCCCCCCCCCCCATGCCAGCAGAGTGTGGATTAAACAAGGACATGGCTGATGCCAAGGCTATAGTCTGTAGTCATTCCAGTAGAAGACAGGGAGACGGTAAACTTAAATTACTCAGCATTACACTGACGTTATGCACAACTACTATTACAGTACTAGCAGGGACCTCCCAGGCTGGGTTTGGAGAAGTTGACACATACAAAGCCACTAGTCTTCTGTGTGAATATTTTATCCATCATGTAGTCTGAGGTGTCTGCACAGCTGGTCTTCATTGGGAAAGTCATCCCCTATGCTTTATCATGTAGTCTGAATTCTCTGTACAGCTGCTCTGGACCATAGTCAACAACAGAAAGGTGCTCAGATGTTATTTGTGGTTCACTGTTTGTCTTATTAAATACCTAATTCTCAGAGTCTAAATATAGTCTATCAGACAATATGTCAGCATTCTGGGGATCTCTGTTTTATGACTTTTGTCCAAGGAGGCAGTTTTGTCTCATCTCCAGCCAGAGTCTAAATGTAGTCTATCAGACAATATGTCAGTGTACTAGGGATCTCTGTTCTAAGACTTTTGTCCAAGGAGGCAGTTTCGTCTCTTCTCCAGCCACTCTAGTGTTCTAGACATGAAAATCTCTAGTGGGTACCTGTAAATCATATATTATACTACGGGTTGAGGATCAGATGTTGTTCTTTTAAGTGTAGTGTGCAATAGTGATGTCACATTTTGGATCAGTTGTTGCCATGACACATTGGTTCTTCCAAGTCAAAAGTGGAGGTTGATTTCTTCTTTATGTTCATGCAGGTTTATTATAATTTCAGCTCTCATTGCAAACTTACCAAGACATATTTATCTTTCCAACTTGATTTCTGAATTTTGAATGTTGTTGCTGGCTTCCAGTTTTTCTTCTTCTTTATATTTCATTTAAAATCTTACGATATTAAGTTAGAAATTGCATCTTTATGAAACATAATTTTGCTTTATTTGATTTAGTTACACATGTACATGTACAGCTAAGCACAATTACAAAGTTTATGTACAATGTATAAATTAAAGATCATTTATATTCTTATTTCTTGAAACAATGCCAGCATTTGTATTGCCAGAGTGTTGTCTCCAACATAACTATGTAACAACAGGGTCAGTAGTTAACATCATGTGAACATGTTCTCAAGTCCTCAAGCAATGTTTAAAAAACAGCGGAGGAAAGATTTACTGAAAGCCACCACGGATAGATGGGGGCTTTACTATAAGTCCAGGTTAAAGTATATATATTTATCTTAATTTATAATTTGATTTGGTTAAAACTAAATTGTCTCGTGCAAAGACTTACTTATAATTTTGTGCTATATATTTGTCTAATGATGTCACAACTGTTAGTACTGTAGTTGTCAGCTGACAACAGAAGGATTTCAGTAATAATTTTACTTTTGTTATATAATATGGTAGTGCTTAATGTTGCTCTTTCTATAACTGTTTTGTCAACCTTTTAAGTGTTAACAGAAACTTCAGATAGTTTAATTTATAGGAACTGTTAAAAATTTATCAATTATTATGTAATAGGTAATTTTCTGCCATTCATTAATATTTATATCTTTGCCAAATTGATAAGCTTTATGGTTATTTTGTCTTTTTCCCTGAGGGTGAGTTGTGGATTTTCAGAGTTCAGCAGATTTTGATATTAAAGCAGGTGGTTGGAAATAATTAAAAAAAAAAATTGGTGATATTCCATGTGTTGGTGCATCTTTATAAGTGCACATTATGTCCATAGTTTGCGAGTAGCTCTAGTTGGCTTGTTATTAACTTTTGATCATTTACTCATTACATTATGTGCTTTCAGCTAGTATTTGTTTGCATGAACTAGGCAGAGGTTAACATAGTTCACCAACTAGCCAGTGCCTGTGTCTCATTGATGGGGAAAGCCAATAGTCAAGTGTTTTTCTAAACTCCCTGTAGGCCTCTGTCATGTTGTCAGTGCTGTGGGATAACTACCACATACAATGTCCACAATGAGATGTCAGATGTTACTAACAAATCCTGCTGTACTATATATGACTGTATATGTGTATATACTCGTAGTGTAGAGAGAACAGTTGTAGAGGTGTCTAGTGTTACTTTTTTTACTAACTGGTCAACGGGGTCACCTGCAATGTGTGTGTGAACAATCATTTTTGTTGTTTTGATGATTTTTATTAACATTCAGATTAACTTATTATTATTATAAATTGTGATTGTAAGCAATTGATGCTTGTTAAAACAAGCTAATCAAGCTGTGGAATAAATAACTTATTTGCATCTCCTGCTTTCATCTATTACTTACACATACCTGGAATGTTTGGTGTGAGGAACGCCAGGATATATCAACTTATATCAAGATAGGAGTGTGAGCGAGAATTTAGTAATTAGTGATTCTTTTAACTGAGATATGCTAAAATGTTCAGACTTAACAAAGAAAACACTGTTTGACACATGACCTCATTTACTGAAGTTTTGGTCACGTAATTCAGTTCCGTGTTTCATACTTTTTGTCATATTTCGAACAAAAAACAACGGAAATTGGGGCCGCCTTAGAAAATATTCATCCACATTGCACAGATTGCTGCGGAGGTATCTTTCGTAATAGTTAATACAGTTTTACCGCTAGTCCTTCCTTATCACATATTTGAAGTTTGGTGCACGTTTATTCGATAGAGAAGTCGTTTATGTAATATTATGTAAGACAGAATCTACTAAGTCACGGTGAAAACCAAAGATTTTTGTGGAAACGCATATAGTAGTCCCCTTACAAAACGGACATACATACACTTCATTTGAACGCGTTCTCTGCGGCAAATTTGTGAGGGTAATTTTTGAGAAGGAAATGGTATATCATTTCAGTATTAAAATTGATAAACAACTCAAGTTTAATTGGTATTCAATTTCTCGCACATCTACTCGTCTCCTCAACCTATATGTATATGTATATTCCCGTCGGTTTTCATTTTGTAAAAGTTCGCAGCCAAATGCCCTGAAATAAAACCTCAGCACTTGTGCTATATATATGTGCTATGGCAGGTAGAGTAATATTGAAATTAATGCTAAACCATCAATTTTAATGTCTGAAAAAATTTGGAGTTTATAGAGATGTATCCTACCATGATTTGCTTTCCTTGCTTTCCCGCATGACTATAAACTATAGACTATGACTATAGACACGGTACAGCTCTTTCTACATTTGCTTCTCGTTACGCTTTACACAGCTTTTCGATTATTCGGTATTTATAAAAAGTTTTTTTCAATTAAAACTTTTGTACAATTATCAAATGTAGACTGTGCATGTATTAACCTTTCGCCAGGTCGGTGAACCGCAAACGCAATCACAATTCGAATTCGATGTTTCGCTAGTTTGCATAGCCAGCGTACCTGCAGAGTTATCAAACATGATTTATCAATAACATAACGATCGATCTAGTTTATTTTTTTACAAAAGTAGAACATCTGCAACTTGTCAGGAAGACAGTAAGATGTATAATGCCCCAGTTAATGTCTAGAATGTTTATTTAAATAACTCAATAAATAGCTTGAGGCTACTTTCGCGGTGTCGCCGGGTTTAAAAAAAAAAAAAAAAAAAAAAAAAAAAAAAAAAAAAAAAAAAAAAACTTTCGTTACGTCTTTTGGTGCGAGTCATCATTATAAGTTGTTGGACTTATTTGTAATATTTAAGGCATTAATAAGATCTTAAATTCATTTATATCCATGATTAGCTACTGTAGATTTATGGCGACAGGTCAAAGATAATGTTTTTACAGGAAAAACGGCAAAACTGAATCATTTTAGAAAGTAATTTGTAAAATACTCGTTATCAGGCATTGTGAAAAATATACTCTAGGTTGAGGACAAAATGTTTCAGTAAAATAAACGTGAATTTCGTTATGCCGCTTTAGCACAGTCTAATTTTGTTAGAACAGTTAGTATCAATAACATAGAAAATATATCTAAAGGGTTCTTAGTTTTTAATTTTTATTACTGAACGAGCCGAAACCTTCTTTACATTAAACAAGGATTTCCCCTAGCAAGGCATGAAATAAACATTTTTCCGCCATAATTAGCTTCATGTCTTAAAGTTAGACTAACTAACGTCTTCAAACGACTTCAGTGGGGTTGCCCTTCTTCGAAACAGGAAGGGAATTCCAAGCCTCGATTGGAAAATAATCTTTGATCTAAGCATGCGCAGTACACGTCATTCCAAATTGAAAACACCAATGGCGACTTCCACGTTTCACTTACGAGGGGAAGAAGCTTTATGTAAAAAAATTTGCAAAGGGAGAAACAAGTAGAGAATAAAAATGAAAAGAGCAAGACACGTGAAGTGGATACACCTGGCAATGTTGTGGTGAGTAGAAAAGAAGATTGAAAGCAATTGATAATACAAGAACAATAGTCCTAATTGGTAGTAAATATATTAATGGCATTTCCCTAGTAGCGATGACATCACTCTAGGAACACGTTGTTGTAATTATTTCTGCACGTGTTTCTCATCTACCACATGTCGCTAGACATATTGCATACATATTTGTGTGAAAGCTGTAAACGAATAGTATCACAGAGACTGCTCTGGATTTAAAACAACTCTAACACGACTGAAGAAGACAAAATTTCACACTGTTAGTTTCGGGTATACGACTAGCTAATAAACTCCAAGTCCATATATCTGGCTGGTAACATTCATAAGTGTGTGAGCACTTGGGTCACTGTATCAAGCAGGTGACACTCTGTACTTCATACAGCCTTGGAGCTTTGTAATTGTGGCCTCATCCTGTACAAAACGTGATCACCTTTCGGCTTCTTCTTCTTACTATTATTCATTATTGTTATTCTTTTCAGTGTCTTGCCGTTACCACATTTAGCTGAGCCTGATACCAAAGTAAGCAGAAATTTTATTTCCTCTGTATGTTTATATTTCAAAGAAGTTGGCAGAATTATATGAAAATCATTCAGTATAAAAATATGTGGTTTGACCAGCTTTATGTTTTACTGCATAACTTTTTATAAAACCGTGATAAACTGGTTAAAGTAACTTGACATTTTAATACGTCAATAGGTGCATCAGGTGAATATCAATGAGATGGCATCAGATGTCTCTGCAGGGGCTAGTACTGAGGCACCCAGGGATGAGACAGCTGGGGGTGGGACATCTAGGGGTGAGACACCTGAGGGTAAGACACCCAGGGGTGAGAGTCCTGAGGGTAAGACATCCGGGGTTGAGAGACCTGAGGGTAAGACACCCAGGGGTGAGAGACTTGAGGGTAAGACACCTAGGGGTGAGACATCCAGGGACGAGACACCTGGAGATGAGATGACATCCTCTCACCCTGTTGAGGCTGAGACAAGTGGCAGAAAGACATCCACTGGAGAGACAACAACAGTGACACCAGAAACAGTGATCCATGTTCCTGAAGATACTACCAGCAGTAACACACAACAAAAGGTAACTCTCTCTACCCCTAATACTACCAACAGTAACACACAACACAA